ATATAACATTGACATTTTGACCATTTTTAGTTATTTTATCAAAGTTAAGAGTTCAATTGAACCATTTTCAGGCAATGTGTAATACAACCTATCCATGTCAAACGAAAGTTATTGATACAAGACGATAATTCATTCTATGAAATCTACCTTCCATTTCGGGTATGGCCGAATGGCGTCTTTTTTTTCATTAATACTTATTATTAGATTTGAAACAAATGTATATCAAGTAAAGTATACATTATTTAACTGATGTAATGTTTATAATATATTAATTTTTTTATATTTAATTGAATAATTAATTCTTTTAATAATTACATTTTTATTTTTACTAAATTTTCTTTTAGTAATTAAAAATTTCAAAAAATAAAATTATAAATTATTTTTATTTTAATTTAGTGTTTAAACAAAATTACTATATAAGATAACGCATATGTAGTAAATTCGAAAATTTCTAATTTTATTTTATTTTCAGAAAATTTAGCTACACACATGGATCAACAATCTATTGGCTGCACTCCGATGTTACCTAGAAAAAAACGTAAAACACCAGCAGAACGTAGTCGTGAATATAGAGCTCGGAAGAAAGCCCTAGAAAATCCTGCAAATCCAGAGCCATCTTGCCCTACGTTGATTGATGTTAAAGCTGAAGTACATCACGAAAATTTTGTTTCGGATCCATCAAGAAAGCCAAAAACACCAGCAGAACGTAGTCGTGAGTATAGAGCCCGGAAGAAGACCCTAGAAAATTCTGCAATTTCAGAGTCAACCTGCTCTACGTCGATTGATGTTCAAGCTGAAGTACATCAAGAAAATTCTCTTTCGGATTTACCAAAAACGTCAAGAACACCAGCCGACCGTTGGTGTCAGTATAGAGCTCGGAAAAAATCTACGATGGTCCTTAAAAACTCAGTACTAAATGCTCCATCTACTGAAACTTTCTCAACAGATAATCCGTGTACTAGGGATCAAGAGGGTGCAATTTTATCTGAAGCAGATTTTATTATTAGAGACATTCCAAATACTAAAACGACGCCAAGTATCAACAACGTTACGAGAGGCTTCCAGGCTAATGATTTGCGTGTACCTTATTCTACTTTTTATTATCATAAAAAAGCTGATGAAGAGTTTAAGACTCAATTCATCAATAACCGGTTTGGACATATTTGCTCAGTCTGTGATAGGTTGTGGTTTAAAAGAGATCTCAAATCTGCATCTAATCAACATCAACAGATTTTAAATACAATTCTTTCTCTTAATACATCTATAGAGAAGATTGCTTTATGCACTACGTACTTAACATCATTGAATAATGATAAAATTCCAATGATGTCAGTGGATAACTCCGAAGTCATTCTCGGGATCTAACAAATTCTGTTATGCAGGCTTCAAACATCGTACTTCTATCTGAAACTTGGTTAAATGACTCTGAAGATATAAGTGCACTTAATTTCAACTGTATACTTAGTAAAATTCAAACGACCAAATGTTCGAGCAGGAAGAGTAGGAATTTACTCTAACGAAAATAATAATACGTGTAATAAAGCCACACCAAATATTCATATGACAGCAATGCAGTCATCATCACAGCAATTGGGAACAGCAGTAACTGGTGATATTTGTATTGCTGAATGTCAATCTCTTGATGGAAAAAAAATTATCTTCGCTGCAGTGTATATATCTGTCAACCAAAAGCTTAACAATATTATTTCTTTTCTTCATCAACAATTACTTGCATATAGCCATGGAGGTGCTGCTCTTATTAATACAGACTATGATAAAATACCTCTTCTTTTAGGTGGTGATTTTAACGTAAACTTTGCATCTAACGATTCGACACCATTAATTAACTTTTTATATGAAAAATTTAGTCTGCAATTAAATAATAATCCTAACATGTCGACAACTAAATCTGGAACCACAATAGGATGCCATTTTTACACGATATTTAGAAAATATTGAAACAAGAACTTATGTTTCATATTTTAGTTATCATCAGATAATGTTGTACATATTGAAGAAATAAATTGAAAGAATATGTGATATAATTAGTGTAAATTTTTCCTCATTTAAATCCTTTCAATACTATGTATGCATAAATTCTTTATGGACCTGTCTTTGATATCTATTAACTATTAATTAATAAATTTTAAATTGAATTTGCCAAAGAAGTTTCAGAATTATAAAAATTTGATAATAATAAAATTAGCCGACATTTTTATTTTTGCTTAATTTATTAAATTATAACTAAAAAATATTTTTTAAAAATTGCGCTTATAGTTTTTGAAGTTTTTAACAAATGAAAAAAATTTTTTTGTTATAATTTCTTATGAAAATTAAGTTAGCCGACATCTAAAAATTTTTAGAATTTTTTTTTACTGAAAAAATCACTACAGAAAAATAAAAAAAAATTTTCATTTGTCAAAAACTTGACAAACTATAAGTGTAATTTTTAAAAAATATTTTTTAGTTTTAATTTAATAAATAAAAAATAGTTAGAAAATTAAAAACGTCGGCTAACTTTATTTTCATAAAAATTTGTATAAATTGTCAGCTGTCAGCTGATTTCAGTATCATTTTAAAAAATAATGAAAATAAATTATCAATAAATAAATTTACATATTAGCAAAATACCTTGTAGTGTCATCTCCCATGATAAATTTGTTGAATAATTTCAATAGAATTAGCTAAAGTTGTAATAAGTAATACTTTATCTACTTTCATTAAAATAACAATCACTTCGCATAAACAATCTAAATCAAGACTGACAACTGACTGCGCCATTTTAGTCAAAATGGTGCCGCATAATTCCCGCCAAATTTATATCTACACACTTAATATAAATTTAAATCATTATAATTGTTATTATTATTAGATAAAAAAGATTTTATTAAATAAATTTATTATTATTTTAATATTTTAATAGGAAATAAAAAATATTAAAGTAAAATAATTGATGGTAAATAAGAAAACTAAAAAAAAATTACCGACCTTGACTCGAGTGTGTACGAAAATACCCGAAACAACACGAGCGCTTATTCTTTACGATCATTATTCATTATTCTGTCTATCCAATCATTTACACTGTAACAAATATATTTTTATTAATTATTGTGCCTTTTATTTAAAAAAATCAGCGGCTTTTTGTTTACTGTAATTATTTAAAATAAGTTTTATCTAATTAAATTATTTATAATGTTTTTTTTGTTAAATTAATCAAGTTAATTTGTATTTTTCAGGTTATACTAGCCTAGTGATCGAGCGATGTCATCGGACATAAATATGCATACCGAAAAAGTAAATAATTAATTTTATTTTTATTTAATTTAATTTCATTATTTTTATTTTGACAATCGTTGAATGTTTATTTATTTTTTATTGACAGTCTGAGTCAGGTACTACTTACGGAGGATGTGAAGGTCCAGATGCCATGTATGTAAAGCTGGTGAGCAGTGATGGTCATGAGTTTATCATAAAGCGCGAACATGCTTTGACCAGTGGTACAATCAAAGCTATGTTGAGTGGACCGGGACAATTTGCTGAAAATGAAGCCAATGAAGTTAATTTTCGTGAAATTCCGTAAGTTTATTAGTATCAATAACATTTAAGTTTAGGGGGCATTCCATAGTCACTGGTGGGACATTTGACTCTAGAATTTTATCAATTATATATAATTATGTGACTGAAACTTATTCTATAGTTAAATTTATCTTATAGTATAGAAGAAGAATAACTAATTAACAACGTCCCTTTGTCAAAAACCTCCATTACTTTTTAAGTTTCTCGTAATTATCATTTGACTGAGTGTGACTGGTGGGACTAAGAAAAATCCTTCTCTCTTACCAAAGGTATACTTAAAGTCCAATTTCAGTTCGACCACTAAACTGAAAAAAAAATACTTCCCTCTCAATACTAAATTTATCCTACAAACATTCAATATTATGAAGAATTAGACTGATTACCTACGTAGAAACAATTAAAAAAATTTTTTTATTGTGACTGGTGGGACAAGTACAAAATGTCTACATCAAGTTGTTTATTAAAAAGACTTTTATATTATTTCAACCTTACAAACATTATTGTTTATATATTTAACTATAAATTATTTAGGATAATTAAAAAAAAACTAATTAAAAAACACAAATAAAGGATTTAGCATGCTGACAACACGATCTTGATAAACTTAGGTGTTAATTAATAACGAACATAAACAAAATTTGTTCTTAAAACTATAATAATAAATATGTTAGTCAATAACAAGCATAAAATGAATTTGTTCTTAAAACTATTAGAACAACATTTGACCCGAATACAAGTTAGTACGGCTGAAAAGTTACTAGAAGAGAAAAATTGATTTTCTTATTGATTAAAAAAAATTTTCTTTACAAATTAGTAAAATATAAACTTTTAATAATAAATTAGAATGAATTAGAGAAATTTAAAAATTTTAGTCATTTTCCCGATTCGTATGGAATGCCCCTTTGATGGAAATAAAGTTAGCAAACATCTAACAATTTTTGTTGTTTTTCTTATTGAAAAATTTATAACAAAAATATTTTTAAAAAATTTCACGTGTAGAAAATTTTAAAAACAATACATCCAATTTTTTATGACACTGAAGCTGACAGACATTAGAAATTTTTTTGTAATTTAATAAGATAAAGTACCCAGTAGTTAAACAGGTTTCAAAGTAAAACGTAAAAACCCGTGTAAAAAAAAAGAGAAGAAAAAAATATGCTTTAAAACTATAATCATCGTTCGTTGAGATTTACTAATTTTTAATTGTTAAAAAACTTACTGAAATTGTAAAATTAATTTATAATTTTAGTTAATTTTATTCTTATGAATGCTTATAAAAAATTTAATAGTTACCCGTGTAAAAAAAAAATCGTTTTAAAATTGTCGTTCGTTTAAGATCTTAAATGTGACACAAATTAAGACTATTTTAAGATTCTTTTAAGATGCTAAAAAAAAAAATTCCGAGATTTTTTAATAATTATTTTGATTTTTTTAAGACTATTTTACGATTTTTTCAAGACGATTTTAAGATGTTTTTAAGACTATTTTAAGATTTAAGTTTTAAAATAATTTTTATATAGTCTTGAAAAATCTTAAAGTAGTCTTAAAGAAATCTGAAAAAAAAATGTTAAAAAATTTTTAGGCTATTTTCAGATAACATCACAGTGGCAGCTCCGGACAATTATTATGGAGCGTCTTTAAATTGCCTTAAAATTGTCTTAAATTAGTCTTAAAAAAATCTTAATAAAAAATTTAGACTATTTTAAGATGGGTTAACAGCGACAGAGCCCCGGAACATTAAAACGGAACGTCTTAAAAAAGTCTTAAAATTGTCAAATAATAATTTTTTAACAATTTTAAATTCAATTTAAAAACATCTTACTCAAAAATATTGCGGTTAGAAAGTCGTAAAATCATCTAAAAATTAATTTTCACAACAAATTCGAGAACAAAATTTTCAAAAATCTGCTCTCGGAATTTTTCTTTTGGCGTCTTAAAGGAGTCTTAAAATAGTCTTAGTTTGTGTCACGTTTAAGATCTTAAACGAACGACAATTTTAAGACAATTTTAAGACGATTTTTTTTTACACGGGAATATGTAATTATTAGTTCAAATGAGTGATTTTCATGAAAATCTAAACAATTTTGAATTGATTGAAACGCAAAATGACGCAGATAATTGAATATTTGTATTTTGACAAACGTTTTTAAGATAAAATATGAAAGGAGTAGTAGTTGAACAATCAATTCTGACAAGCCGCAGTAGTTGAATACTCCGGGAGCAGTAGTTGAACTAATAAAATATATGGCAATAGGCACACCAAAATTTTTTAACGTTTTATTGAAATATTCAAAGATTTATAATATATTATTGAATAATATTAAAAATAACACTGTGAATAATTAATATGTTCATTTAAAAATGAAAAATATTTGTATTTAATTTTTTAATTACATTTTTTATAAATGACAAAGTAAATTTTCAATTATAAATCAAAAAAACTCAATTCAAAACGTTCAATAATTTTTAACTATACTAATTTTTAGTTATAAAACTTATTTAATTTGCAGTAATTAATACAAATCACAATACTGATCAGTAGTCTATAAACCTATTAGAAGTTAGTGCTGTTAAAATTATACGGTCCCAGCTTGTTCAAGTTCTAGGTACCGCTTCGAAAATTGGGAGGTATAGTTGAACGCTAAAATTTAATATAAAAATTATAGCTTATGTCTTTGCAAAAAATATGTATTATTTAGAAAAGACTATTTCATTGGGTAGTACAATTTTTTTTTACTTAAAATGATGATACACCGTTTTTTTTACTGATTGTTCCGTTTACAATTTAGTACCTTTTTCATGAAAAAAATAACATCTATCGGCTATTCTCGACATGTCCACTTTTAAGTTAACAAAAATATAATTGTTTTAATTTATAATTGAAAAAACTTACAGAAATCAATTACTGTATCATTTAATAATTATAACATGCGCATATTACTCATAATAAATATAAGGATTTTGTATTACAACAATTCGAAAAGTCTGTTCAAGTACTGGTCCCATTTTTATAAGTGTTAAAGTACTGGGTACTTTATCTTATTATGAATGTAAATTTTTGTTGGTACTGATTTAATTAATGAATAAAATAAAAAAAATAGTCAGATGTCTGCTAATTTAATTTTAATTAATAATATTTAAATGATACCAAAATTAAGCGACATCTGATAATTTAAAAAATTTTTTAACAAATAAATAACATTAAAAATTATAAATTTAATTTTTTAAAAATAATTTTCTAGTTTATTTTTGAAGAAAAAAAAAAAAATTGTCAAGAGTCAGCCAATTTCAGTGTCATTAATTTTATCGTTAATTATTTAATAAATTAACTCATAAATATTTTGTTCCTATTTTTCAGATCTCACGTACTCCAAAAAGTTTGCATGTATTTCACCTACAAAGTGCGTTACACCAACAGCAGTACAGAAATCCCTGAATTTCCAATCGCACCAGAGGTTGCTATTGAACTGTTGATGGCCGGTAATTTCTTGGACTGTTAAAGACTTTAATGTTACATAAGCTTGCTTGTAACACGAATAACAATTAATAAGAATCTTTAGGCCTTACTACAATGTAAACATTTTACAATTTTATACATTGCCAATTGAAATTCGTGTTACTTAATTTTATTTCAATTATTATTTTTATTTTATCTATTAGTGCATACTTTTATTTTATTTGTAATAAACATACTGAATATACAGCTCAATACAAATAAGTTTTATTAAATAATATAGTCATCAATAATTAACGGCATTCTTACATTTAATTATTAAACCAATAATATAAACATTATTATTATCAATTATGTAAGGTAGATTTTACTAATAAATACAATTTCTAAAAGTATTAATTATTTTATTTATTCCCAACAAATTTATTTAATTTTTTTTTTTTTTTTTTCAAACTAACTACATAATTTTTTTTAATTAAAAAAAAAAATTAAGTTAAGAAAAACTGAAAATATATTTATTGATTTGTGATAAAATAATTTTATTTTATTTACTTCGACTTTCTTTTTCAAGATCTTTAAATTTAGCTTCCAATCTTTTAGAATAAGCCGCTAATTTATAAGCAGCTTGCTCTAATTTAGCAACACTGTCATCAATTTGATTAATATTATCCAAAACTGGTTGTAATTTTTTGTATTTTTGATTTAACGCATCCAATGACTGTGATACATTAGTAGAAATTGTTTTTAATTCAGCGTACTTAGCTATTGTCTCTTTATTCAATCTTTCAAGTAATCGATAATCAGCGTGTGTTGATGTTAATTCATCTTGTAAATATTCAGCAGTTTTCTCGAACATTGTCGTTGCTAATCGACTCAAGTTGGGATCATGAGGATCCAATGCTTCAAAACTACTGGTGCTTGTTGACAATGTTGTACCGTGCTTTGGTGAATGACATCTTGAATGATCGTGCTCAGGTGTGTCGATAAAATGCGGTTTATTATCTTGCATTTCTTCGGTAATTTCATTGCTGTTTGTTGTCATTTTTTTATTTATCTGTTAAATTCAATTTAATATTATTATTTACATAAACAGTATGAAATTTTATAAAAATAAATTTATATTATTAAGATAACAATATATAAAGTGAATTTTTATGGTTAAATTTTGTATTTTTTATCTCTAGATACATAATTAAAAAATAACCTTCTATCTCGTGAACTATTGACATTTTTAAAGATATAAGCTTATCCTGAAACTACACTCATCGAGACCTTTTATTTGAGTACCCACATCAATTTTTCATATATTTATGTATTTATATATATGTATATATGAAAAATATATCAAAAATGCAAGTGGGTACTCAAATGAAAGCTCTTGATGAGTGTAACATCAAGATGAGTTTATATCTTTAAAAATATCAATAATTAAGAAATAACCTTGTATCTTGTGAACTATTGACATTATTGAAGATATAAGCTCATCCCGACATTACACTCGTCAAGACCTTTAATTTGAGTACCCACATCAATTTTTCATATATTTATGTATTTATATATATGTATATATGAAAAATATATCAAAAATGCAAGTGGGTACTCAAATGAAAGCTCTTGATGAGTGTAACATCAAGATGAGCTTATATCTTTAAAAACGTCAATAGTTAAAAAAGTACAGTGCTATATATTATTTAACAAAAGTCATTATTCAATAAAGCAAAATTTTATTTATTTATAGTTCACAAGTCATGGATAGTCACATAGTAACTGCAAGGTTGCTAGTATTTTTTTTCAAATTATTTATAAAACTTTCAATTTAATGAATTAAAAAATATGATGATTCTAAATAATTGTTATTTAAATTTAGAGACAGGTAAAAAAAATATTCTCAATAAATTGCACTTGTAATTTTTTTAAATTTCTAAATATCAAAAATTTTTTTTTTAAATGATTTTTTTCATTAAAAAAATTTCATCTTAAAATGCTTTAAAAAATTATAAACGCAATTTTATAAAAAAATAATTTTCTAGACTTTATTTATTTTTAAAGAAAAATTAAAAAAATTATCTAATGTCTGCTAATGTCAGTGTCTTAATCAATTTCCAGTTTCTAATTTCTAATAATAATAATAAAAAAAAAAAAACCATATCTTTACAAAATACATCCAAAAAACCTTAATTTCATTTTTCTATAATAAAAAAAATTACATGACCCATTTGTATGACATTAAAGTTAGCAGTCGCTTGACAATTTTTTAATTTTTCTTAATAAATAAATTTGCTCCGAAAAATTAGATTTTTTATTTTTTTAATTTTCTTAATGTCAACTATTTTTTCTCATTTTCTTCAACATAATTTATTTATTAAAAAAATTCTTAAAGTAATAAAATATCTGCTAATTTAATATTCATCCCACTTATCAATAAATTATTTCCAGTAAGTACATTTTTTTAATAAACAAAAATTACCTGACGCTACTTTCAGTGTCAAAAATTTTCTCTAATATTTAATTATTTTTTTTTTAACAATAAAACTTACATCATTATGCGCGCAACAATCAAATTAAATAAATTTTTACCTTTTAATTATTTCTCCCTGACAACTATAAATGTAACACCTAAAAAAATAAATAAATTAAATTAAATTAATCCCAACTAATTAATAATTAATACTTACCTATTAAAATAACTATATACATATATTTATATATATTTATCGTAAAATAACGATCGAAAAATATACATATAAAATCCGACTGTCAAAAAAATCTGTCAGTATAGATTTGGAGGTTATGTGTGTTTAAACTGAGCAAAATAATAAGAATAATATATATAGATATAGATATCAATATCCGTATAGTTGTAACTGATATATACTCATCAATGTTGGTATTTTACGTGGATTTAACGTCATTATTTATCATATCTAATATAATAAAAATAAATAGCTCAACTAATATGATCAGTGAGTATAATAAAATAAATAAAATAATTATTTAATTTTAAATAATCGATTTTATTTAAATTACAACCTACAAATAGTTAATCTCTATCAAGAGTGTTATTATAATTTTTTATTTATTTTTTTGACAGTTTTAAATTTAATTTTTATTTATTTCAGATAAATTTCTACGTCAAAAATTGGATCTAAATACGTAATAAAAAAAAGAGGATAATAAAATAATAATATAAGTTAAATAAAAAGGTAAAATTAATAATAAAATATGTCACAGCCGGATTATGAACAAACAACTCATGACCATGCATCATTATTAGTTTTATTAAAGTCAATTGGTACGCAATTAAAACCAAAATTATTATCTCGATTATACGAACGTATTAATAAAAGTTTAAGTAAATTAAATATTGTTGATTCAAGTGGTAGTACTCGTGAAATAATAATACGTTTTGTACGTGATTATCCTGTTGAAAATATTGATTGGGGTGATTTTCAAACTCATAGACGTTTATTAGGTTTAATAACATTTAGTAAATATGATGAACAAAATGAATTCAGTGAATTGTGCCGTTTACATGAAACACTTAAAGTTAAATATAATGATACATTATATGATTCACGTGCCATATTTTTTGGACCAGTTGAGTCTGATAGTATTAATGAGCCTCCAACGGGTTTTGTACCACCGCCTAATTTTAAAACAAGTGCTATTTATTATGCTGATGAATTGTGTCCGAGTTTAGAGAGTCAAATTTTAGAATGTTTAAATGCACTTTTTTGGATCCTAGAATCTAAAAGACTTAAGAGATTAAGAGAAAAATCTGATCGTGCTTCACTGCTGCGGGCTCCGTTTGAAAAAAAGGAGCTCATTGGACTGGATTTAGAGTCGAGAAATAATAAAAAAAAATGCTCAGGACGGATGACTAAACATATTGCTGATTTGAGTCTACAAGCTGGTAATTTTTATATATTTTTTTTATTAAAATAGGGTAAATACCCCAATAGATGGACGGTTAAGCAAACTCTCGTGTTCTATTAAAAAAAAAAACAATATAGTAATATACAGATAAGTTGTGATAAAGTAAATTATATTTATGTAAAAATATATAATTAACCAGAAAAAAATAAGTAAAACGTTGTAGTAATTAGTAAAAAAGAAAAATGTAAGAAAAAGTCCAAATCTCCAGTAGATGGACACTACTTACAAGCGATATTTTCAATTCATTATTTAAATTAGAAATAATTAATTTTTTCCACTAAAAAATAAAACTTGATAAAATTAAAGAGAAAAAGTGATAAATCGGATAATAATTTTCAAAATACATCATAAAGTAATTTTATTATTTCTGAAGACGTGATGCTTTCTCTATAGAAAGTAACATATAAAATATATTAATATAAAGAATACTAATAATTAATAAATAAATAAATATAAATTTATAAAATACAACGTTAAAAACATTTTATGTTGTCTTCTTCCTTTTAATAGGTTTGTTCTATTTTGCTTTTGAATTTCCTTCTCTCAATTTTCTCTTTTATTCAGCGTTTTCTTTTTTCTCTTCAATTTCTTCAATAATCATAATAATACTTTCATTTTCAGTACATTTCTGTTTGCTATAATCTTTACTCTTATTCTCACATTGATCCACCAATAAAATTAAAAAAAAAAAAAAAAATAAGAAAATTCATCATATAAACTCAATGTCCATCTATTGGATAAAGGTCAGAAAAGTGTCACCAATAGATAGACACTAAATTCTATTATTTTTTTTCGATTTTATCATTAAAATATTATATTTCTAGATTTTTTAGTGAAATATAAGCGTAATCAAATGTATAAATCTTACTTTTTTTATTATTTTTTGCTGTTTATTGCTGTCACATGCTTACCAGTGGTGACATTCTCGGAGTAAAACCTAGACACGTCCAATTTAAATAATTTTTTAAACTATTATTTTAAATAAAAAGTTATAAAAAAAATTACTTTTCACTCTCAGAGCTTTACTTGTTTCTGAAAATAATATTTTTTTTGCCATTCTTTTTAGAATCGCTCGAAACGTAAAGATCTGCAGAAAAAAATTTTTGACGTACTAATGCCAAAAGGACGAATAAAAAAAAAAACAGGATTTTTCATAATTTTGAACAACAGTCTTCAAAATTCTCCAGTGAAAGTTTGTGAAAAAAAAAATTTTGAAAAAGTCAACATTTTCGATAGTAGTAAATTAAAATTTTTATCGTTTTGGACAGTCCAATGATTAAAGAAGCATATGAATTAAAAATTTTTTCGCGTACTAAAATTTTATATTTTTTATAAATTTCTTTCTTATTTGTTGCATAAAATTGTAGTTAAAATAATAGTCCATAATATGTATATATAGAATGAAAAACATCTTATTATAAATAAGAAATTATTAACTAATCGTTAAAAAATTTTTTGAGCTGAGTATAACTGAATGTAGATTTGATGAAAACTCAATTTTCAAAAAACGAGGTAAAATCAATAACTTCCCGCTTTTAGAAAATTTTTAATTTTTTTAATGGGAAGTTAAAAATTACACGCCCTTTTGGCATTAGGCACGCGATATATTTATAATACTCAATAATTAACAAAAAAATTTTTTTTCCATCATTAGGTCTTCGTATCGAAGCTTTGAATTATTACAGCACAGCAGCAGCAAGTCTCCAAACAGTAAACGACTGGCTATGGCTAGGAGCCGCATATGAAGGTCTATGTGCAACATCTTCAATGATCCTATACCCAAATCTCCGTAGATCATTGACTCTCCACCGGAATTCCTCATTGCAAGAAACAAGCCCGGGTAAAAGACGTGAATCTCAATCCCTCCCCAGCCCAACAAACGAAGAATTCCCCAAAACTCACATCCCGCACTTGCTACCACCAGAAGAAATCGCCAAAAAGTACCGAGAAGCGATTGTTCATTACAGTAAATACCAAAACGCCGCTATCGTAGAAACCGAAGCGAGTTTCAAAGCAACTCGCATATCAATAGAACAAAACAGTCCCCTACAAGCTGCGTGTTTTTTAAACAACGTCGTGTTCAATCACATAAATTTAAGCGAGCAGGAAAAAATCGAGCGATTTACAAAACTAGCCGAGTTGTATTCTTCCTTTGGGTTCAGCCGAAAAGCTTCATTTTGCATGCGATTAGCCGCACTGAGATACGTATCACCGAACAATCCAAACCGAGACTGGAAACAATGTTACAATTTATTACTCCAATCTACCTCAGGCTTCAAATTGTCCCTCGACCCAGCAGAAATGACTGATAATAACCGCAAAGGTTGGCCAAAAATTCAAATTCAAATTCTCAATGAATTAATAATTGCTGCCAATCAAATGGGCAATGCAGCATTAGCAACGCGGCACATGACATTTATTTTACAAACATTATTCAATTACCTATCACCCAACGACCGTAAGGACATTGCTTTGCAATTACAGGGTGTTGCGCAGCAATGTGAAGGTGCACCTGTGCCCCTAGTTCTTGAGTCGGGTATCGTAATCCCTCCTGCTAATTTGATCAACATACCTACCACCAAAGAATTTAAGTTAAAAAATCTACAAGCTCACCTTCAGCCGCAAAAAATTGAACGGGTCAAGGAAGATCATGGACCATTCTTGTTCACTCCTATTAATTTTGGATCTTTAGAGCGGAAAAATGTCTCCAAAAATTCCGTGGAATTTTTGTGGGTCGACGGTGATATTTGTGAAGTGTTAATTCAATTAATTAATCCTCTGCCGTTTGAATTAGTTGTTTCAAATATGAGACTTTTGACCAGCGGAATTGTTTTTGAATCTCTTCCAGAGAGCATTACGTTGCCTGCAATGGCCGGACCAATTGGTGTGTCTCTAGCTGGGACTCCCAGAGAACCTGGCACTTTGGAGATCCACGGGTTCAGTACTCACACACTTGGTGTTAAATCTAATTGCCGGTTAAGAAATATTCCTGGTATGCCATATCCATCTTACAATATCACTGTAATTCCGGCTTTGCCAAAAATTGACCTTGCTACAAGCTTGCCACAAACTGCTAGCTTCAGCACGGGTCAAAATATTGTCACCAGTGCCAGTGTCTCTTTATACGGTGGTGAAAGTACTGAGTGTACAATTACAATAACTAATTGCGGGCAAGTACCTATTGAGACTGTTGAGACTTCAATTAAATCTTCGTTGAGTAAAATTAAAGAGGCAAAAATATTTCAATGGAGCGATGATAATTTTAATTCACAATTACCATTACTCCCAGGCGCAAGTGCTAGTCTTACACTTTATCTTTTTGCTGATATGGAATTTATTAATAATAAAGATCAGGTGCAAAAAAGCAGCCCGAGAATTAGCAATGCACATGGATCTAAATCTTGGCCGACTAGGAGCAATTTAACGCAGTCAAAAAAAAAACCTTCATCATTGCCGGGTAATAGTGGAAAAAATTCGGGGATTAATTCGCAATTGGCTAAATTAACTATCCAACCACCGTCGAATATTATTGTTGAGGGACAATTAATGATTAAGTACTCGGGTGGTGAGGGACTGACTGCTGGGTACTGTAGAGTTTCTTCGGTTTTTATTTCTATTGAAATGCTACCTAGTGTTAATATTACTAGCTGGGATGTCTTGCCAGCTGAAACATCTAGTCAATTTTACTTAGTACTTGATGTAAATAATATGACTAATCAAGAAATGGAATTGTATTATACACAGAGTAAGTGTATTTATATGGGAGGAAGAGAATCTTGTAGGATTCCTGTTCCTGTTGATAGATGTCCGCTGGATAAATTGTCGACGATTGAGAGTGGAGATGTTGATAATGAGTTACAGAAACTTTGCTCGCAACATACGGCTGCTTTGGTGGATATGAGGTGGCAATTGTTGGGGACTGATTTGACTGGGAAAGCTAATTTAAATGGCATTACTTTTACGAGAGATATGATGGATCTTGTACGGATGAGTCCTTTACAGTGGGGTAATTATTATTTTTAATGACTTTTGTTAAATTGCAATGTAGTTTCTTAACTATTGACAATTTTTAAGATATAAGCTCATCATGATGTGATATTTCTGATATTTGTAAAATATATGAAATATATGAAAAATTGATGTGGGTACTCAAATGAAAGGTCTCGATGAATGTAATGACAGGGTAAGCTTATATCTTTAAAAATGTCAATAGTTCACAAGATACAAGGTCATTTCTTTATTATATAGCTGGAGACAAAATTTTTTTAGATTCTCTTAATAATATAGATTATTTATGGAGGTGTTATAAAGTTGGTTTTTTTTGGTTACAGAAGTTGTTATTAATGATACGGCAGTAAAACCCCAGGATGAAATCACCTGCACCATTGGAGAGTGTGTTAGTATTGGAGTTGGAGTTTGCAATGCTCTTGAACGGCCGCTGAGTAATTTGTGCTTAACTATTGATTTTTATCAGGATTATCAAAATGGTACTTGTAATTATAAGCTTGATAATTTACTGGCAATTGCTGGAGCTAGCAAAGTAATGCTTCCAACGGTAAGTTTGTGAAAAAAATATTTTTATTTAGAAACTGGTTGACAGTTTTATCACCAAGATGTTAAGTCATAAACGATAAAAAATTGAATTTTTGGAATTGTATACATATCAATGTTGGTACTCAAATGAGACTTTTTATTTGAGTACCAACATTGATTTTTTATATATTTCATATTCGTGATATTTGTGATATATAAAAAATATATACAAAATTCATGTGGGTACTCAAATGAAAGGTCTCGATAAGTGTAGCATTGGAATGAGCTTATTTCTTTAAAAATGTCAATAATTAAGATGTGATCTTTTATCTTGTGAACTTTTGACATTTTTCAAGATATAAGCTCATTTCGATATTACACTCATCGAGACCTTTCATTTGAGTACCCACATAAATTTTTTATATATTTTATATATTTCACAAATATCAGAAATATCATATATATAAAATATATAAAAAAAAACCATGTGGGTATTCAAATGAAAGGTCTCGATGAGTGTAACATCATGATGAGCTTATACCTCAAAAAATGTCAATAATTAAGAAATTACATTGATTTCGTCACCTAGTGAGATTTCTTAAGATATAAGTTCACCTTGACATTACACACATCGAGACCTTTCATTTGAGTACCCACATAGATTTTTTATATATTTCATATATTTTACAAATATCAGAAATATCATATATATATAAAATATATAAAAAATTCATGTGGGTACTCAAATGAAAGGTCTCGATGAGTGTAACATCATGATGAGCTTATATCTCTAAAAACATCATTAGGAGAGAAGATACAATGTAATTTCTTAATTATTGACTTTTTTTAATATATAAGCTCATCTCGATGTTACACTCATCGAGACCTTTCATTTGAATACCCACATAAATTTTCCATATATTTCACAAATTTTATATAATATTTGTGATAAATATAAAAGATATAAAAATTGATTATTTTATCGCTTATGGATAATAAAATAATTAAATTAACAAACTATTGAATGATCAACAGTTACAAGAATACGGACGTGCTTATCACGAATGCCGGGTGGTGTTTTTCATGCCAGGTCAATTTAAACTCGACATCCGATGTAGTAGTAACCATGAAAATTCATCGTCATCAAGTTCCAGTGATAAAAATCTAACGATAGCTGACAATGAATGGCGTTATATACCACCTATTGAAATAACCGCCGAAGACTACTGATATTTGTACAAAAAACCTCCTGTATGTATATGTAAAAAAACCTTAAATTTATTATTTTTAATTTACAATAAACAACATAAAATCTTAGTTAAAATTTTATTTATTTAAAAGATAAATTTATTGTCAAAATATCAGTTCATTTAACAATAATTATTTATTTAAAAGATATATTTATTGTCAATATCAGTCATTTAAAATTATTTAACAATAACAATTTTTTTTTTAGATTTACCTAGCTTATAAATTTTATTATTTTGTAAATTTCTTCTAAATTTTTTATAAAATTCCAGGACATTAGTGCTGACCCAGACTTGTTTTTCATTAAAATCTAAAACTCTCAACGCTTCAAGACTTTGCGCTCTTGAAAGTGCAACATAAGATTGTCCCGCATCAAAAACATTGCTAAGATTCATCTCCACACAATCTAAAGTCAATCCTTGGCTTTTGTGAATCGAAAAAGCCCAAGCTAATTTCAAAGGAATTTGTTTCCGATGAATAAAATTCCCACTGGCCAATTTTAACATCCACTTTTCCGCTTTAGCGTGATAAATTTCTCCAGAACAAAATTGAACAACTGGAATTTCATCGTCAAACCTCAAAACAACTCCACGAGCTCCATTAACCAATCCACTGTTAATATTAATATTCTTCAGCAGCATAACTTGCGCTCCAATTTTAAGCGTAAGTTTTCCCGGAACTGGCAATTGTTGATCCAGTGTCTGGGTCATAGATTCATCAGAATCCTGAGCAGAATAATATTTAGCCAGACCTTCAAGCTTTTCCAACTGAGATTCATTTATTTCATCAGCTTCTTTTACATGCGAGCAAAGTCTCGTAGCTAAAATGCCATCTTTTTCAATTTTCTGCTTAGCAGTTGCCCTTAAAGTCTCTTTAATATCATCAGTAACTCTTCCAATTCTGATACTATTAAGCAACTTAACAAAAGTTGGATCTTTTTGCCTGTGAACTATTTGAAGCTCAAAATTACAAGTGATACAAGTGTCCCAAGCTTTGCTTTCAAAGCAAAATTTAATACTTTCATTTTTTCTAACGGGTGGAAGCTGAAAAAAATCACCGCATAAAATTAATTGAATCCCACCAAAAGGTCTGTCATTTTTACGAACATGCCTCGCTACTGCTTCAATCCTGTCGAATAATTCACCATCAACCTAAAAAATAATGAAAATGAAGTTAGCTGACATTTCAAAATTTTTAGAAATTTTTTATCGAAAAAATTTCAATTAAACAATTAAAAAAAAAAGTATCACATGTTAAAAACTTGAAAAACTATAAGTGTAATTTTTTATAAATATCTTTTTAGTTATAATTTAATTAAAAAAAAAAATCAAAAATTTTTAGACGTCTGCTAACTTCAGTGTCATAAAAAATATTATTATTTTTAAAGGAATTATTAATTTTAATTAATTTACAAGCATTTATGGAATACACTTACATACCACACGGAAAAAAATAAATAGTTAATGCAACATGATGCAGGATTGGTAAATAAACATGATGAAATCGTGTTGCAGCCACATGATTTGTCATGTTTCGGCTACATGACAATCATGTTGCGGTAGCATGATAAAAATCATGTGGCAACAACATGATTTGTCATGTTTCTGTTACATGTCAATCATGTGGCAGCAACATGTTTCGGCTACATGGCAATCATGTTGGGGTAGCATGGGAAAAGTCATGTGGCAGCAACATGATTTGCCATGTTTCTGTTGCATGACGATCATGTTGTAGCAACATGATTTGTCATATTTCTGTTGCATGGCAATCATGTTGCAGCAACATGATTTGTCATGTTTCGGCTACATGACAATCATGTTGCGGTAGCATGAGACAAATCATGTGGCAGCAACATGATTTTCATGTAGCCTTAATAGCATAAATTAAGCTGCAACAACTAAATATTTATGGTTTAGAAAAATTATTTATTATCAAGCAACTAGATTTTCTCGGATTTATAATATTGCAGATGAAAATTAGAGTAAATTATCAAATTAAATCATTTGCAAACGATCTGATACTCAACTTTTAGATCACGCCGTGAATAATGAAAATACGTATGAATCAAACACAGTGGTGTTGGTATAAATCGACAGAAGTGATGAACTGCAGTTTGGAAAAATTTATGCAATAGCGAACGATGTTTTTCTTGTCATGTCAACACCAATAGCATTTGATCGTCATTATCATACGTGAAATGTAAAAATCAATAGTCACGCTAATTGTGTAAGGAATCTTAATCTTTTACATCCAATTGTACTTTGTCTATCGACAAAAAAAAAGGCTTGAATTATGTTGCAACAAGACAATTAATTTGAAAATAATAACAATTAATAATAATTTAAATACTTTTATCACAAACCAAAGCTATTGGCAATAAAAATTGTATATAATTTGAATAAACAAAGATATCGTTTACAAATTGTATAATTCAATAAGTTACTCTTATTTTCATCTGCAATATTATAAATCCTAAAAAACCTTAGTTACTTTATAAATAAATAATGTCTCTGAAGCATAAATATTTAGTTTTTGCGGCTTAATTTTTTACTATTAAGGCTACATGAGAATCATGTTGCTGCCACAAAATTTTTCTCATGCTACCGCAACATGATTGACATGGAGCCGAAATATGAAAATCATGTTGCAACATGATTTTTCTCATGCTACCGCAACATGACTGTCATGTAGTCGAAACATGACAAATCATGTGGCTGCAACATGATTTCATCATGTTCATTTACCAATACTGCATCATGTTGCATTTACTATTTATTTTTTTCCGCGTATGCTTGTAAAGGTGAACCCTAAGAACTCCGCCGTCCATCTTACGGCAATAAATAAATATTATTATTTTTAAAGAAATTATTAATTTTAAATCATTTTAATTAATTCAAATTAATTTACAAGCATTTCGGCTGCCTAATTTCAAAACACAGTAACTAACATTTAAAAATTTTTTTCAATTTTTCTTATTAAAAAAAAGTTTGCCCGCCAAATTAATGACAAATTTGATTTATGAATAGAAACTACTCAAATATAAATATTTTTAAGAAAAAATACTTGAAATTAAGGTTTAAAAGTTATAAAAAATGCAGCAATACTAAAAAAAAATCAGGAATAAAAATTTTGCAGTTACTGTGTTTTAAAATTGGGCAGCCGATTTATGGAATACACACATACCATGCTTGTAAAGGTGGACCTTAAGAACTCTGCCGTGCATCTTACGGCAATAAATAAATATTCATTTTAAATCATTTTAATTAATTTTAATTAATTTACCATTGAAATTTCATCAATAATCAAGTGCTTTGTTTTTCGCCAAACTGAAGCAGAAGAAGGACGTGATGCAAGTTGATAACAACGCTCTAAAGTACCAGTACCAAGACCAATTCCAGCAAACTGATGAAGAGTTATACCTCCAATATGACAAGCAGCTACTCCAGTACTTGCAGTGACAGTTGTCACATCTGGCGGCAGCTCCGCAATGATTCTCTTCAGAAGATGCGACTTTCCAGTTCCAGCTGAGCCGGTGAAAAAAATATTGCTACCACGTTGAACAGCTGTCAATACTTCTGTTTGCTCTTCTGTCAATTCAGCAACCGTTGGGTTGCTGTACAATTTTTTAGCCGGCACTTTTAAACTATTTTCACTGTTTATTAATTTACGCTTACGTACACTACTCGGAGAAGGTGTTGTTAAAGTTTTACGCGAATTTGCAACAACTAAAGCTTTTTCTCTAGCGGCTTTTAATTCACCAGCTGTCGCGGGACTTATGTCCTGAGCACCACCTAAATTAACGTTAGCTGCTATGTGTTGCTTCAAAGAACTCACCTTTGTCTCGGGCTGGCCTGTCATTTTTACAAAAATAGTCTTTAGGAATGAAGTCAGCTGAGCTGCTGGAGCATTGGAGATGAAAAGAGTGCACCGCTCTTCGTTGAATTTTATTGTCGCTTTACCTTCGTGCATGAAACGATTAAGAACATTTATTCCACGGATTAGGAGTTTAAATGTCGTGTTTGATTTTTCTGCTTGGACTTGCACTAACATCTGACGCAGGTTGTTTCTTATTAATCGGAGCTGCGCTGATCTGTAGTTTACTTTGCGGGTGGTTGTTCCGGAGGAATTTGTCCATTCTAACACTACTGTGCTGTTTACATAGCAACCTTCTGGATCCATTTTTTATTTAATTGGTTATTTTATTAATAATTGATTTTTTTTTATTTTGCATTTAGTTTTGAATTAATAGAAAATACACGAGGAGAGTTAGGAGTGACACTTTTATACACTGAGTGAGGTTAAGGTTAAGGGTTTGTTTATGTACCGTTATTCTTCAGTGCAAGTTTAAGCAGTTTTCGCGCCAATTTTTATGCGTCATTCTAATCAACAGACGCTGCTGCCAACTACCGGTGATTAGACGTATCTGTTTCATACTGAAGTCAACAGTTTGTCATTTTTTTATGAAAATTAAGTTAGCTGACATAAAAATTTTTAGAATTTTTCTTTTATTGAAAAAATGATTAAAAAAAATAAAAAAAAATTTTCACTTGTTACAAAGTTCAAAAACTATAAGTGCAATTTTTAAAAAGTATTTTTTTGTTCTAATTTAATTATTAAAGATAAAATCAAGAAATTAAAAACGTCGGCTAACTTTAGTATCATCATTTTTTTTGGATTAAAACTTATTTTTGTTGGAATAAAATTAAAATTAATTCACCAGGTATGTATTTGATAATTTTAAGAAATTTTGATGATGAAAATTAAGTTTTTTTATTGAAAAAATGACTACAAAAAAAAGAAAAAGAAATTGTCATTTGTTAAAAACTTGAAAAACTGTAAGTGCAATTTTTAAAAAATATTTTTTGAGTATCTAACTTGAGTGTATCATATTTTGATGACATTAAAAGTTAGTTGTCACCTGACCAATTTATAATTTTATTTAACAATTAAAATAATTATAAAAAATTATTTTTAAACAATTGCATTTTTTATTTTTTTAAATTTCTAGATGACATTAAAGTATGAAAATTAAAAAAAAAATTCACTTGTTAAAAACTTCAAAAACTACAAGTGCAATTTTTTTTAAATATTTTTTTTGTTGTAATTTAATAAATTAAGCAAAATAAAAAAATCAAAAGTGTCGGCTAACTTTATTATTATCGTTAAAGTTAGCTGTCACTTGACCAATTTTTAATTTTATTTAACAATTAAATTAATTCTAAAAAATTATTTTTAAAAAATTGCATTTTTATTTTCTACATGTCAATTTTTTTAGCTTATTTTTTATGCCATAATTTATTTGTTAATAAAAGTTATAAAAATTATTAAATATCTGCTAAATTAATTTTCAAAATTTCTAGATGTCAATTTTTTTCTTATTGTTTTTTTTCCATAATTTATTTGTTAAAAAAATTCTTAAAATTATCAAATATTTGGAAAATTAATTTTCATGACATCTAAAATTTCACTTTTTTATTTTTTATTATAAAGAAAAAATATTTTTAAAAAAAATGCCATTGAAGTTGACATTGACAGTTATTAGACATTTTTTATAATTTTATAGAAATTAAATAATTATATGAAAAAAAATTTTAACAAAAAAATTCTAAACGTGAAAAAAAAATTATTAGTGCAAATTTTTAGAAGCATTTTTTTTTTTTTTTATTAATTTAGTAATTTATTCAAATTTATAGATGTGGAATTTAAAAAAAAAAATTTTATAATAATTTATGACTCTGAAATTAGCAGGACACGACAATTTTTTTGTTTTTATTTAAAAATAAATGGTGTAAAAAATTATTACTAAAAAATTGCATTTATAATTTTTTGGATCTTCCAAAGATGGAATTTTTTAAATAAATTTTTCTTGCTATAATTTATTTATTTAAAAAATTCTAAAAATTATTAGATGTCTCTCAATTTCAGTATCATTCATATAATTTAGTTGTTACAAAAAATAAAAAAAATTGACAGATGTTTCTTAATTTCAGTGTCATTCAAAAATTTTTATCAAAAAAATTTCAGATCTAAAAACTAAAAAAAATTACAAGTGCAAATTTTTTAAAAACAATTTTTTTTTTTTTATAATTTATTTGAAATAAATATTTTAAAAAAATGTCCAATGTCTGTGTTAATTTTAGTATGACGTGACTTTTTCAACTTACCAATTGCCAATCACAGAAGACACGTGTTTATGTGCGTCTTAAAATTCGGAACCCGGAATCGGAAATCTATAACACGTGATATATTCGGTTTTCCCAAGAAAAACACAAAGAAAAAAGTGACGCCGAAAAAATATATACAACGTAAAAAATATATACGATATCTCCAAAGTGTTGATAAATTTTTTTATTTTTTTCTACATCTTGATTGTTTATATGAATATTAAAATAAACAAACTCATCAATTAAGTTTGCCGGCTTACGGAATTTAAATAAACTTAAATCAGATTTTATTGAAAAAATTATAATACAATAAATAAATTTTAAATAAAAATGACTGATCAATTGCCGTACCGTGTTGAGTATGCTAAAAGTGGACGAGCTAGTTGTAAAAGTTGTAAAGGAAATATCGCTAAAGATGTTTTAAGGCTAGCTAAAATTACCCAGGTATTTATTTTATATACATTAAGTATTCTATAGGTTAAAATTCACATGTAGTTATTATATATTTAATTATCTGCTGATATTTAATTTTTATTTCTAGAGTCCTTTTCATGATGGTGTTATTACAAGCTGGTTTCATCCTGATTGTTTTTTTGCTAAAACAAAACCTAAAACTATTGGGGACATTGGTAATTTTGATAATATCAAATGGGAGGATCAAGAAGTTATCCGTAAAAGAGTTGGTAAGTTATGTCACTAAAAATCATTAGCAACTTGATCATTTTTTTTATTTTTAACACAAGTTAATTTTTTTTGTTCAATTAAAGGAACTTTAAAATTTTATGTTTTTTCAAAATTACAAGTGTAATTTTTTTTTTCTTCAACAACTAGCTGTTGTACCAATTTTAAGTACATAAAATAATAAATAATAATTTTATTAAATATCTATGAAAATAAATTTAGCAGATATTTAAGAATCTAAATTATTAAGAGAATAAGAAAAATTTTGACTCCAGGATAGTCACATGATAAAATCGGTTTTTTTTAATCAAATTTAGTATCATTGAAAGTTTTATATCATTCTCATCAATAGTTAATTTATTATAAGTATTTAGGCTGCATTTGAAAATGCTCTAGCTCTAGCTAATTAATAAAGAAATTAAGAATAACCTTGTATCGTGTCAAATATTGACATTTTTAAAGATATAAGCTCACCCCGACATTACACTCATCGTGATTTTTCATTTGAGTACCCACATCAATTTTTCATATATTTCATATATATATGTATATATGAAAAATATATCAAAAATGCAAGTGGGTACTCAAATGAAAGCTCTTGATGAGTGTAACATCAGGATGAGCTTATTATCTTTAAAAATGTCAATATTTAAGAAAGTACAGTACAATTTAACAAATGTCTTGTGAACTATTGACATTGTTACAGATATAAGCTCACCCCGACATTGCACTCGTCAAGACCTTTAATTTGAGTACCCACATCAATTTTTTATATATTTTGTATATTTATATATTTCACAAATACTCTATTTATAAAATATATAAAAAATGCCACGTGGGTACTCGAATGAAAGCTCTTGATGAGTGTAACATCGAAATGAGTTTATATCTAAAAAAATGTCAATAATTAAGAAATTACATTGTATCTTGTCAACTATTGACATTTTTAAAGATATAAACTCATCCCGATGATACACTCATCATGACCTTTCATTTGAGTACCCACATCAATTTTTCATATATTTATATATATTATATATATATGTATATATGAAAAATATATCAAAAATGCAAGTGGATACTCAAATGAAAGCTCTTGATGAGTGTAACATCATGATGCTTTAAAAACGTCAATATTTAAGAAAATACAGGGCAGTTTAACAAAAGTCATTATTCAATAAACCAAAATGTTATTAAATTTTAGTTCACAAGTCACGGAAGTCACATAGTGAACGGTTGCTAGTTTTAAGAATTTTCTTAAAATAAAAATTGACATGTAGAAATTTAAAAAAATTACAACTGCAATTTCTTAAGAATTATTTTTCAAACCAAATTTATCTGTTAAGAAATAATCAAGTAACTTTCATCTCATTAAATAACTCTAAAACTCACTATTAACTAAAATTTATTTAATTAAAAGAAGGAGGAGCTGGAGAACCAGAGGCATCAGGTAGTACCAAAGGAAAAGGCCGCAAACGCGCAAACAATGACGCCCTGAAGGATTTCAAAATCGAGTACGCCAAATCAAACCGTTCTATCTGCGTAGCATGTGAAACCCCAATCATAAAAGACACTATCCGTGCCTCAAAAATGGACTATGAGAGCGAGAAGGCCGTCAAATTCGGCGGAATCGACCGCTGGCACCACCTCGAATGTTTCTCAAAAATCCGCAACGAACTCGAATTTTTTTCCGCAGGTACCAATCTTCCCGGTTTCAAAACTCTTAAAAAAGAAGACCAAACACTTGTTAAAAAAACTTTACCAGCTATAAAAGAATCTGAAGCTCCCCCCGTAAAAAAGGTCAAATCCGAGCCAGTAGATTCTGCAGAAGGTGAAGCAATGAAAAAGCAGAATAAAAAATTATTTGACACCATTGACCAGTTAAAGGTGGTCAAAAAAGCAGACATGATTGCTGTATTGCAGCAAAACAATCAGTTTGTCCCCGACGGAGAGTCTAGACTCCGCGATTCTCTTGCAGACTTGTTAGTTTTTGGCTCTTTACCACCCTGCGACAAATGCTCAGGGCAATTTAGGTTCAAGTCAGGCCTAGGCTATCGCTGTATGGGAAATATTACCGAGTGGACAAAGTGCGAGAATATGTCCGTAGACCCCAAGCGTTCTAAAGTAACCATCCCGGGTGCTTTGAAAGAAAAATATGATTTTTTCGCGTCGTATAAATCAAAACCCGAGCGACGTATTGTTAGAGTAACCGCACCGTCAGGTGTCAATGTGACTGGAGTTAAAAAAGAAGACCAAGTTGATGGTCCGAAGGTCAACAGGGGTCCAATGCCGCTCCGAGGAATGCAATTTGTAATTGCTGGAAAAACTAAGAAGAGTAAAGACACTCTCACTAAAGAAATAATGAATTTAGGGGGGACTGTTACGTCCAAAGTGAGCGACGTAACAGCTGCGGTAATTTCTACAGAGGCTGCTGTGGAAAAAGGAGGCAAGGTTATTGAAGATGCGGAGAAGCTTGACATCCAGGTTGTGTCTGAGGACTTTGTTGATGAAGCTAAGGATTATAAGGACACGCCAATTCCTTTGATCACTAAAAAAAATATCGCGAGCTGGGGCGGAGATCCCAATGCTCGGGTAGTTGCTTCTCTTGCTAAATCCACCTCAGCTGCGCGTGGTAAGAGTATTTACGAAAAATCAGGCAGTGGCAAGGTTAAGCTAAGGATCAAAGGCGGCGGTGCAGTTGATCCTCAGACAGAACTTGAAGATGTTGCGCATGTTTATCAGCGTGGTAGTGAAAAATTCACGACTCTTTTGGGATTAACTGATATTCAGTCGAAGAAAAATAGTTATTATAAAATCCAAATTTTGAAGCATGATCAGAAGAATAAGTTCTGGTTGTTTAGAAGCTGGGGACGAATTGGGACGACAATTGGGGGACATAAGCTTGAGTCTATGTCTTTAGAAGAGTGTATTTCTATGTTTGAGGAGGTTTATTACAAAGAAACGGGGAATTTGTGGAAAAATAGAGAGAATTTTGTTAAACATCCCCATATGAAGTATCCTATTGACACTGAGGACTCTGATGATTCTCAGGTTGGTTCTTTGGAGTCGGAAATTAAGAGCGAGCTTAAGAAACCGGTTCAGGAATTAATCCGGCTTATTTTTGATATTAATATCATGAAAAAGGTGATGAAGGAATATGAATTAGACACGGAAAAAATGCCACTGGGGAAATTGTCTAAAAAACAATTAGAGAAAGCTTATAGGGTTCTTACAGAGCTTCAGGAGTTAATTTCTAAAGGAAATCCTGAACGTATGCTGCTTATTGATGCTTCTAATAGGTTTTATACTCTGGTGCCGCATTCTTTTGGGGTGCAAGATCCGCCGGTTCTTGAAACTGAGGAAGCGATTAAAGGAAAGTGTGAAATGTTGGATTCGTTGTTGGAGATGGAGATTGCGTATAATTTGCTGAGTGTTAAGACAGATGAAAATCAAAGCCCGATTGATGCGCACTACAAGCAGCTCAACACTGACATTGATGTCCTGGAAAGGGACAGTGAGGAGTTTAAGCTTGTGGAGACGTACACCAAAAATACCCACGCGGCAACTCATACTTCTTATGAGTTGGAAATTGAGGATGTCTTTGTTATCAAGCGCAAGGGTGAGGATAAGAGATATAAGCCATTTGCGAAGTTACCTAATAAGAAATTACTCTGGCACGGGTCTCGTACCACTAATTTTGCGGGAATTCTGTCCCAAGGGTTGCGTATTGCTCCTCCGGAGGCTCCGGTTACCGGGTATATGTTTGGTAAAGGTATTTACTTTGCTGATATGGTTTCCAAGTCGGCGAATTATTGTTGCACTAGTAGTCAAAGTCCTACTGGTTTGTTGATGCTTTGTGAAGTCGCTCTTGGTAATATGTACGAGAGGCACCAAGCTGATTATATTGAGAAACTTCCCAAGGGTAAACACTCGACCTTTGGTAAAGGTAGGACTGGGCCTGATCCTAATCAAGCTTGTAAGAAAGATGATGTGGAAATTCCATGTGGGCCTCCGGTTGATCAAGAGATTCCGGGGAATGCTTCGTTGCTTTATAATGAGTATATTGTTTATGATGTTGCTCAAGTTAAGGCTCAATATCTTGTTCGCATGAACTTCAAGTACAAATATTAATTTTTTTTTTAATTACTACTGGTGTTTTTTTTTCTTTTTTTTTTTTTAAGTGTCAAGGATTTATTTTTGTAATTCGAGGAATTAATTTGTGGGATAAATTTATTTTTTTAGATCTATAATCAAAATAATTTTAGCGTAAAAAAATATAATGAAAAATTTTTGAGATACTTGATAATAATTATGTGTGGTTATTAAATTAAAAAATTTCATTGTATGTAATCAATTTGTCTAAGTTAAGTAACGTTTTATGATACTGAAATTTAGACTTCTGATGATTTTTAGATTTTTTTTAACAAATAAAAAAATCCATTTTTTGAAACTTGAAAAAATTATAAAAATAATTTTTTACACCTACACGGAAAGAACAAGATTATACTGGATATAATCCCAGATTATACTGAGAGAAAAAAAATTTCAGATAGTAGCTAGTATAATCCAGATAACAGTGAGTATAATCCAGATTACAATTAGTATAATCCAGATATTATTCAGTATAATCTGGATTATACTAACTACCATCTAGAAATTTTTTTTTCGCCTCAAATGTCACTGAGTATAATCTGAGATGGTATCCAGTGTCATCTTGTTCTTTCCGTGTAGTTTGTCAAATGCTAATTTCGAATTAAAAAAATTTTTAAGTTATGAAAAATTAATATTATTTCATTAAAATTATTGTAAAATTAAAATTATAATAATAATCATATTTTATTTTTGTAACAATAAATGATCATTCTAGGGGTGCTTATTTTTCAGGAAAATTGTGGAGGTGGATATTATAATTCTTATTTTATAATAATTTTAATGAAATAATATAAATTATTCATAACTTTGAAATTTCTACCGATTACCGCTAATTTCAGTATCATTTTTTTTTTTTTTTTTTAATAGTGTTCGTCATTACTACTACTTATATTGTTAATGTATCTACCTCTTAATTATTAAACATTGTTCACAAATTATTTTAGTAATTTAATAAATAGTATCTTAATACTAAAAATTTTTTTCATTAATTTACCTCGAGACATTTTAAGAGTGATTGCAGAGTGAATGGTTGTTATTTGATTTTATTTTACTGAGAGAAAATTTTTTTTAATTGATTTATAGTGAATCGTGTAATTGTAGATTTATTAAATGAAAAATTTCAACTTTGGAAATTGATTTAAAATTAATTAATTGATCATTATGTAATTTTTGCTTTTTTTTTTTTGATGATACTGATAATTTTCAAAATTTTTTTAACAAATAAATTATAACAAGAATAATTTATTTAAAAAATTCCATCTTTAAAAGCTCTAAAAAATTTTGAATTTAATTTATTAAAAATAATTTTCTAGACCTAGAAAAAAGTGTCTTCTAATTTTTTTTTTTTTTAAATTGTGTTCATCATTACTAATAAAATTTTGTCTTTAATTTACCTCGACAAATTTTAAGAGATTTTAAGAGCCGAGTGAATGGTTTTTAATTGATTTCATTTTACCGAAAGGAAATTTTTACTCAAAAAAAAAAGTTTTTTTTAATCGATTTACAATTAATCGTTTTTAATAATTGTTTTAAAATTTATTGATTATGATGATACTGATAATTTTTAGAATTTTTTTTAACAAATAAATCATAGCAAGAATAATTTATTTGAAAAATTCCATTGTTAAAAGCTCCGAAAAATTATAAATGTAATTTTGTCAAAAAAATTTTTATACCTAGTTAATTTTTGAAAAAAAATTAAGAGATTGTAAAGTGTGCTAATTTTAGTTTCATTTTTTTTTAATTATCAATTCAAAATAAAATTTTTTACATACGACCTAAGCGTAAAATAAAAGATTTGTTTGTTATCTTAAAAATATTTAAGGTAAAATTTTTGAATAGTATTTATTAATAAAGATTAATCCATTTGATTATTTATTGGATATCAAAATTAAATATACAGGCTACAAGGCATTGTTTATTTATTAAACAAGTTTGATAGTAATTTGAAGAGCCTGTTTGTAAAAGATGAAACGTCTACTTCAACTTCTTTTTGGGGCGGATGTTGTTGGTGTGTCCGCACTTCTTTTTACGACAGTTAGTCGCTCTAGGGTGGAGACGAGCGTAACATTTACGACAGATCATCTTGTCACAGTTGTATTTTTGTGCCAGGATCTTGAGTGTTGGCTCAATAACTCCACCACGAAGACGAAGGACCAAATGTAAAGTTGATTCTAAAAAAAAAAAAAATTTTCATTAATTTATTAATGTATTTTTTTATAAAAAAATTTCAATATTTAAAAATCAGCTGGTAAAAAAAAAAAAAATTTTTTCTATAAAAATTTCAATATTAAAAATTAAGCTGTTAAAAAAAAATTGTTTTTTTTTTTGGAATAAAAAATATTTCAATACTAAAAAATCAACTGTTGAAAAAAAAAATTTTAATATTAAAAAATCAGCTGTTCAAAAAAGATTTTTTTTTGCAATAAAAAATATTTAATTTTTAAATATATTAAAGTATCTAAAAATATTAACCTTTCTGAATGTTGTAGTCAGACAGAGTACGTCCATCTTCCAATTGTTTTCCAGCGAAAATCAAACGTTGCTGATCTGGAGGAATTCCTTCCTTGTCCTGAATTTTAGCTTTGACATTTTCAATAGTGTCAGAAGCCTCAACTTCCAAGGTAATGGTTTTACCCGTCAATGTCTTTACAAAGATCTGCATTATAAGTTTTCTGAAAAAATAAAATAAAAAAATTATTCCTCACGTCAACCTAACCTTAAAATAATTCCATTTAAAATTTTTAAAAATAAAATAATCCAAGTAAAAATAAAAATTGAATTTGAATAAAAAAAGAATAATTAAATTTGACATTTACTCAATTTTTATAAATTTGTACAATTTGAATAGTTAAATAAATAATTTTTTATAAAGTTAATAGCTAAAAAACATGTGCGACTGCCAACACGCACATGTTAATGTTTTCAATCATGATTTAAAATTGAAAACTTTAATATAAAGTAAATAAAAAATAATAAAGGAATTACTTTGATGAAATTTGTAATTAAAATATTTAAATCTAATAATAATTGTATAAAAATGTAAAATCCTTACGGTGGTGATGTATATCTCCAAAACTTTATCCGAAAAAGAGACTTTGTCTACAGTTACAGTATTTCTTGCGCAAACGAATTGTATAGAGCCGCCATCTTTCGTTAAAAATTTGACAGTCATTATTTTTTAAATAAAGAGTGTGAGAATTCGCCCGATGAGGCACGGGCACGGGTCCAAACATATACACTATACCCGTCCCGTCAAGATCAGTGGTTGTCAATCGGGGGTAATTATTTTAGCTCGAGCTTCACTCGAGATGGCGCGCAATTCAGATAACTTGCGAGAATTTAGTTGAGTTATCGACAGACCACAGAGCGCTGTGATGTAAAGCCATTTAATGGCTTCCAAGTCTTCCACACTTCCGTGATTGTAGACAGTCTAGAAAAAAACAAACCAATGATTGATAAGTAACAGTGATACGTTTACGTCGTAATAAATATATGTATACATAAGTGTTTAGAAAAAATAAAATATAATATAATAATAATTCTACACACCAGCCAATTTAAATATATGTAATTATATATTTAAATTAAAGGTGGATTAAAAAAAAGATACTAATTGTGCCTTTTTAAATTCCATGTGTGATGGTTGATTTTTATCAACCTATTTCCCAAATGATTGTTCATTTCAATATGAACGTTGGCAGTATTCCCAATTTGTATCTCAGCTGATAAACTCGATAGATTTTTTATTATTATTATCACATAATACAATAAAATATTTATCAACTTTTTTTTTTTTTTAACTTATTTATATTTTTCGTTGAAATATTAATTATTTAAGACATTATCATGGCGGATAACGTATTAGAAGAGTGTAGCAGCGAGCAATTGGAAAAAGTCCTACAATTTCAGGTAATGTTTTTGATCATGACTTGCTTCTTATTTCAATAAATTTACATTTAATCTCAATAATCGGAATTTATGTTATTTATGTAAAAAAATAATTTTATAGAAACTTTCTATAATTTTTATTTTTTATTCAATTGAAATTAAAAATTTATTTTTGATTAATTTTTTTTTGTTATTAAAAAATATTAATTAATTTTTAATATTACAGGAATTGACAAACATTGAAGATTTATCTATTTGCCGGGATGTATTACAGAGGCACAACTGGAATTTGGAAGTTGCTGTTCAGGTATTTTAAAAAATTATATTAAAATTAGATGATAATTAATTTAGTAGATATTTAATAATTTTAAACATTTTTTTTAACAAATAAATTATGACCAAAAAAAATATAAAAAAAATTGACTTGTAGACAATTTTAAAAATTAAAAATGCAATTTCTTAAAAATAATTTTTTTGAACAAATTTTTATGTTAAAAAAAATCAAAAAATTATCTAGTGACTGCTAACTTTAATGACATAAATTGAGCAGATATTTAATAATTTTTTTTAACAAATAAATTATGGCCAAAAAAAAAAATATAAAAAAAATTGACATGTGGAAATTTAAAAAAATTAAATATGGAATTTTTCAAAAATAATTTTTTTGTTAAAAAAAAATTAAAAAATTATCTAGTGATTGCTAACTTTAATATCATAAAATTAACTTAAGTTTAAAAATTTTTTATTTATTTTAATCAATTAAATTACTTAAAAAAAATTGCACGTATAATTATAAAAATTTTCTACATGTCAGCTAATTTAATTTTCATTAAAAAAAAAAAAATTATTAATTATTTCAAACTTACAAAAAAATTCTTTAAAATAAATAAATAAAAAAAAATTAATTTAGCACATATTTAATAATTTTGAGCATTTTTTTAACAAATAAATTATGACCGAAGAAAAAAATATAAAAAAATTGACATGTAGAAATTTCAAAAAATTGGATTTGTAATTTTTTTAAAATAATTGTTTTGAACAAATTTTTTTGTTTAAAAAATTTTTTAAATTATCTAGTGTCTGCTATA